GAGCACACGCTGCCTAGTGACCAGGTCACTCCCCCCTTTCATTCTCCCTCACATTCCAGGTGGGTGCTAGATGAGCGGCATCTCGCTGCTGTAAGAGCTGCCACCAACCTGGATGTTGAGATGTCGCCCCACATCTGGAAGTAAGGGCTCACTGAAGACCAGCAGCCTCTAGCAGAAACTCTGACAGTGAAAGGAGGAAGAGAGAGATAGAGAGGTATCTGAAACCAGGTGAACCCCTGGGGTACAAGGCCAAATGACCTAGTAGGGAAATCACCAGATTGGAAAAGTGGGAACAGCACTCCCTCCAGGTAGTGCCCCCATTTTCCATGCCCATCCCTCGCTAGCAGACAGTGGAGCCAGGACTGCACCCAGACAGGACTTCCTCATGCCTAGGCGGAAGCATTTTAGAGTGTGGCAGGCACTGCCAAGCACGCTCCTCTTCTCCGCGGAGCTCCGGGGAGGCTGAGACAGGCAGGAGAGCAGGTGCCTACTGTCTCTGCAGTGGCGCAGCATCAAGCCACCTGAGAGCAGGGGCTGGCCCAGAGCGAGGGCGCAACAAATGCTAGCGCTATCACTGCTTATCTCTAACCTTTCTGTTATCAGCTAACATTCCTGCCGAAAAGTACTCAGACTGTGAGCATATGGCTTGTGCACACAGCTTGATGACTTATCGGCATACACACCCATGCCTAGGACACAACAGGAAGTCCCTGGTCTCCTAGAGCCACCCCTGACAGCTCTGGAATGCAGCCCACTTAGGAAGCAGAGGCCTCTTCTGCATGCCCCCAGCATCTGATCTGGACACTTAAAGGCGACTATGTGTTATTCATGCTCTATCCCCAAGGCCTAGAATAGGGCTTGGCACAGAGGAGGTGTGTTATAAATGTTTACTGAATAATTTCTGCTCAGTATCGTGGTTATTTGTGTGTGTGTTTTAATTCCAAATATTTGTTTGTAAGCTTCTTCTGGGGAGGGCATGTCATTACCCAGCATTAAACCTCACCCTCTCTCTGATTCACTCGCACATTCAATCAACAATCACTCAGTGTGTCAGGCACTGTGCTAAGTCCCAGATACCCAGACAAGAATCCCACCCTGTCCTCATGAAGTTCTCAGCCCAGAGCAACATGCTAGATGGGCATGCCTAGGTGTGCCAGGAAGGGCCCAGCGAGGACTGCCTCGGGAGCTCCACGAGAGAAAGCAGAGGGCGGCCTGGAAGAAAGAACACCACCCTCAGCCTCCACCCTCAGCCTCCACCCTCCCACACAGAGAGGCAGCTCTTTGTGGACAGGAGCCTGGGGGTGGGGGAGCTCAGTTGGGCTATAGACCAGGATAAAACTCCTCAGAAAGGGCCTGGTAGTGTAACAATTCCAACACGTCTTAGTCATGCTAAAGAGTGTGGTTTTACTTTGAAGATGACGCAGAACGAGAAGACCCAGAAGCTGGGACTGGAAGTGGAAGATACCACAGGAGGACCCATGGGCTCCCAGAGGGAGCCAGAAGACCTGTAGAAGCAGCTGATCCCCCACACCCCACTGGGAAGCCTATGGTTCCAACTTGCTGAAGAAGCTACCACTTGGGGGACATCCTCCATTCGGCTCAACTTACCCATCCCTAGGACTTCTTGCCTCTAAACCAGGTCCTTGGCTCCTAAGAGGCCGAGGTCCTCAGCCCTCCGCAACGCCATGCCCATTCCAGCCTCCAGAGTTTGCTCCAGCCTGGATGTCAACCCTCCTCCCTGCTCCCAACTCAAAGTCCAGCCCTGCCCACCCCTCGGCCTTTTGGTAACTCCAGCCCTTTTTCTGAACTCATGTCACTGAGAGGCAGAGCTGTGGCTTGGCCCCGGTGCCCTCATACCCCAGAGGCCATCAGCCTCTCTCCTCCCAGCTACATCATAAGCACCTGCATTGTGAGAATCCGATCCCCCTCCTCTTTTTTCTAAATCTGTTACTATAGTGTTAGGTGATACAGAAAGTGCCCCCTCCAAATACCCACTAAATACTCCTGTTCATCTTCTGTCCCCGTGGGTCATCTCCCGCAGTCCCTGTTCATTCATCCATCCAGCAGACATCCGAACGCTTAGGAAGTGCCAGTCCTGCTCGTCTTCCATGCCGCCTTTCCTGCCCTCCCCCCGTGCTCCCCACTTCCCCCGTGCTCCCCAGCAAATCCCACAGCACCTTACAATGAATGATCTGCTAGAGTCTGTCTCCTTCCTTGAGGGGTTTACCTCCAAATGTCACAGTCAAAGGCTCCTAGAGAACAGGGCCATGCCCTCCAGTGCAGGCACACAGCCAGCACACAGAGAGAGTTCTAGATGGCCCACTCCAGGCAGTACCTTTTGGTGGAAAGGAGTAAAATTCAGCACAAAAGACTTCCACCTCGAAACCAGATGGCTTTCTCTAGATTTGTGCACCCCCGTGGGTCACACCATGAGAAGTCGCCTTCTGTGGGAAAGAGGGAACTTGCAAGAGAAGCCCAGAGAGAGCTAGAGCTAGTAGCAGCATCTAAGTCACTCAGAGCCGAGCAGGGCTGGCTAGGCCTGAGCAATCGCTCCTCCATCCAGTGAGCATCCATCACTGAGGAGGAAGACGTCAGCATGCTGATTGATTTATATAAGCTGAAGTGTAATTCCAGGGACCCCATCACACGATGAGCAGAGCCTGCTTGGACAATAAACCCATTTGTCTTTGCTTTCTTTAGACAAAAGCAGATGTTCTCGTCTACTGACAGTATCGCAGCTAAGAATTTAGAAGGGAGCCTAAGAGCTTAAAATTAAGAGCTTGTTAAAGCTACTTGATTTAATATATGCTGATAACATATACTGGCAACTCTTACCTACTTTTTACCAAGCAGCGGCAGACTTCTGTAATAGCACTATATTTAACTACTTTATTTTTCCAGAGCAGTTTCTGTCATCAGCTGGGTAATCACAATGACGCTGCCAAATACAGCCACAGGAACAGGTATGTCGTGTGTGTGCTGAGACCTGCATCCTCATAGCAGGGGGACAGAGCTCCAGGCTAGTGCCTGTGCCAACACCCTACACCACTTTGCATGTACTTATTTCCTTAACCCTCACATATGCTAGGATATGGGTACCATCATCACCTCCATTCTACAGATTGGGAAGTTGAGGCAAAGACAAATTAGTAACTTGCCCAAAGCCACATACATGTAAGCGACAAACCCAGGAGTCAAACCTAGGTAGCTGGCTCAAAAGCACGTCTGAACCTGCCCCGCTGCCTGTGCCAGACTGTCCTTGCAAGGCCTTCTGTGTGCAGCACCACCTAGCTCAAGGCAGGTACTGCAGTTGCATTCCTAAAGGCCAGCCTCCCAGGAGCTCGCAGGGAAGTCTGCACAGCCACCGCTGGCTCCTGTGTGCTTCTGCAAAGCTGGCAAGGCCACAGCCTTCCTGGGGGCCAGCAAGCGGGGCCTGCCTGCCAGTGAGCCCAGACGTGTGCATGGGGGCCGGGGGGTAGTCTTGAATTCCAGCACTGTCCCAGAGGCACCACCAGACTGCATCCTGTGACCACCAGCTCCATGCAGTTTCAGCACCAACCCTCCTTGATGCAGTGAGCGTGCACCTGCTAAGACCAGGAAGCTGCTGCTGCCCAGAGGCCAGGACAACCCATGACTCTGTCACTGCCCTGCTACTCTTACTGCCTTCTATGAAATGCTCCCTTGAACACTGCGTCTCTCTGGCTACTGAAATTTGAGCTCTGGCCTAGATACCCACCAGGAAGGCTGCGACCAGCTGAGGGGCAGGGACAGGGCACTGGTACCCTCTGTGCTTTTTTATTTACTCCGACCCCACAGGGCCAGCTCCTTGAGGGTAGAAACTCAGACTGTCAAATTCTTTGTTGGAGCCTCACAGGGACTAGCGTACACACTTTTAATAAAATGAAGTATTCAGCTAAAAGTCAATAATGACCTTTCCTCAATACATAGGAAAGAAAAATGTTGACAGACTTCTGAGCTCCTTGTCCATCTTTTTGAAACTTGGCCACCTGTGATCACTTGTCTATTAGTCTATAATATCTGATGGTATTTGATGCCAGACAAACTGAACACAAATTATTCTAAGTTTATAAAACTCCTTGTGCTTGTCCCCAGGAAGGCCCAGGGCACCACCCTCACCTTGTGCACCACTGGAGTCTCCCATGTCAGGAAAGCACCCACCTGGGAGCCAATGTCTACATTCTCACTTCATCCTGCTGCCTCCCTCAAGGGCCAGTATCATCTCCTCTTTACAGATGAAAAGCCTGAGGCTCAGAGTAGCCAAGCAACTTGCCCAAGGTCACACAGCTAGTAAGGGCACAGCTGGGATCAGAACCTAGATCTTCCAACTGCAAAGCCAGTATTCTTTCAACTAAGCCTATGGCTGCCAGGAAAGTTACAGGGGTTTTGCCATGAAAACAAAATTTGATAAAAAATGGACCTTCCTTGAACCAGCAGGCAGGAAAAGTGGGGCTCAGGAAGAGTGACTACCATACCCACACAGTAATCTAATCAGGAAGGGAGTTCCTCACGGGCTCAGACAGACAGGAAGATGCTCCAACAAGTTCCAGGGCAGTTTGTTTAGCCCTCGGGCCAGTGGCCTGCACTGTCCAGCATGATGCCACATCACTGCCGTCCGCGTTTCTACAGGAAACCCAAAAGCAAAGCGCCTTTCAGGCTAAGCCCAGTGATTAGTGTATGTCGCTCCAAGTCACACATGGCTGACCATGAACAGGAAGATCTGGGAATGAACAAGCTGACAAGACTTCTAAAACACCTCTTAACTCTTTAGGTCTCTGACTTTTCTTGCAAGGTAAGTTCACCGTTCACCACCTTCACTGATAGCTCAGCCATACCTGTTGCCATCCAGAACTGATCACAAAAGCCTGGCTGGTTTGGGGGTATGTTCATCTCACCTCACCCCATCCCCACCAAAAAAAAAAAAAAAGTCCTGGCAGGCATCAGCCTGGTCTCTGTTCATGGGGAAGAAATCAGGGCATTACCTCCCAGAAGCTGTCGCTGGACACTTCCACTCCAACGGAATCATCATAAGTGACAGACATCTCTCCACAGGGTGAGGGAGCAGCAGGGGATGCTTAAGTTCAATGCTCCAAATCTGTAAACAAACCTATAAAAAAAGCATATCGTTGTGATTTGAATTCCCAAGGTAAAAAGCAAGTCATCCCCATACAATTTCCATTTCCGTCACTGCCTGCACACAAAGCAGTCTAAAAATGTTTCCTTTATTGGGAGAAGGTCAATAAACTCTAAACTGCGGCACGACACAGACGCCTATGTTACCTGCATAATGTGTGTATCTCACATTAACAGGCAAAGCTCTTCGACATCCTGCTGACGAGCTAGAAAAGCTTTCTGAATTGTCGTGTTCTGAGATCAACAGATTGAAGGCCTCACTGCACACTCTTCCTCATCCCTTGGAGAACGGGACACGGAACATCTGAGGAAAGCAGCAGACGAGGGCAGAGTCCTTGCGTCTCTGGGCTCGCCCTGTCCCGGACTATCCCAGCCATCCGGCAGGGCGGATCTGGGGTAAAATGTGAGTAGAAATAATCCCACTTTTGACATGACTCTCCACTCTCCACAGGGTTTCCAGCACATCTGGATTGTGTCGGGCATTTTCCACCCCCACCCATGAATCCATTTCAGCCCCTGAAGCCCCAAATCCAGACCAGACTCAAAGTCAGACCAGTTTATTTGGGCACCGTCTCTGTGAGGATCGGCAAAGACGAACAAGCTGAAGCGACCACTTCTGAGTGCGGACGCCATGTCCTCAGTCCAGCAAGGGCCACGGGGCAGCAGCTCTCCTGCTGCAGGGGGAGCGGAAGCACGTTCGGAAGCACAGATCACTGTGATGGAATGGCCTTCCACAGCCGGATGGGACTCCACCCTCCTCTCCATCGCCCTGTGTTCAAATCACACAGCCTGAGATCCAAAGCCCCTAACTACAGAGTCAGGAGTCCAAAGCCTCAGCTTAGTGATGGGAGGGAGCAGGCGGGGTGGGCAGGCAGCACGACCTACATGGTTACGCCTACCAGAACCGTAGTTAGGAGCACACACTCTAGAGTCAGACTGCCTGGGCTCCTATCCCAAATCCATTATTCACTGGCTGGGCAACAGTGGGCAAGTTACCTGACCTCCTGTGCCTCATTGGCTTTATCTGTAAAAGACAGACAATAAGGAAATCAGAATTTCTGTGAGGGTCCAATGAGGCAATATATATAGGGGCTTTGAACAATACATGGTCCATAGTAAGCACTATGGACACAGTAGATAATAATGTAATTATTATTAGATGGTAATTATTATTCCTATTATTACTTTGGTCTGTACTTTATAGATGAGAAAACTGATGCTTGGAGAAGTTAAGTAACTTGCCCGTGGTCACCCAAGTAATGAATGGTGGAGACCAGCATTTGACCCCAACTCTGCCTGTTTGCTAAGGTAGCATCATGTTTCCAATTTAAATAAATCAGGTGTCCTATAACCTAAGATCTACTTGCTAGTTAAGAGGGTTTAATCTGGTGGAGCTGTCAAAGGTAAACACAGCATTGTATGGCCAATAAATTCAAGGTAAAGAACGGATTATGGCCCTTCAAAGCCACAAGCTGTGATGCTCACAAGTATAACCAGGCAGTCGCACAGGTGCCACCCACACACTTGTCCTAACAGTACGCTGGCTAAATCTCTGCTTCACCACCACAGGGACAGCATGTCATTAACCGCGGGGCTATCACAAAGACCGGACAAGCCACTCTGGCTGGGCCCTCATGCCACCCGCATTTGACAGCATCACTTTTTCTGCGGAATCTTGTGCTCTGAGTCAGGGCCCTCCTAGAAGCACCTGGCCTATGTTTGCAGCAGCAGAAAGCCCTCTACTCAGCACAGCTGGTCTCTGCTCCAGGCTCCTCAGGGAATATCTGGGCATTTAGCTCAGGCAAGTCTCAAAGTGGCCCAATCAAGCCGCTGGCTGGGCTGCAGGGCCAGCTCCAGGGAGCAAGTACAAGGAGGACAGGGTACCTGCTCTGGACGCAGAAGCAGCTCAACACCAGAAAAGCTCAAGCAGAGAAATTCATTTCTGCCTTGGTTCAGCCATGGTTTAGACACTAATGAAAGAGCAGTTCTGTACAAGATTTATTAAGTATCTACTAAGTGCCAGGAGCCACTAAGCTCAGAAAGATAGTCAATTTCTAGGAGAAAAAAACCCTGAATCATTGAGAACAGATGCCCTGCAATAACAGGACCGAGACCCCCTGGAGTTGCACAGGGCACCGGAGAAGAGGCATGCTCGAGCTGACCAGTGGGAACAAAAAACCAGCTTTCCTTGCTCAAGTCACCAGTGCAACTTGCTCATTTCCTCGGTCCAGGGCCCTGGATCTCCCCACAACACTGCTCAGTGACTGCAACATCCCTCAGATCACAGCTGTATGAGGGCCAAGCCGACCCCACTGGCATCCCACGAAGCTTCAGCCTAATAGTTAATGACTACAGTCAGCTCAACGATACTCATGAGTGCTATTTAGAGTTCATGGCAATGCGGAACCAGCTCCCCCGCACTCTGTTCTTCAAGTGGCTTGGCTATGCTCAGCCCTTTGCTTTTCCATAAACACCTTAAAATCTGCTTGTCAGGGCCACCGACCAACCAGCTCTGCTGGGCTTTTGACTAAGATTTCACTGACTCCTAAGACCACTTTGAGAGAACAGATACCTTTATAATACTGAATCCTAAACCATTTATTCAGGACTTCTTTAAATTTCTCTCAACAGTTGATCAAATAGAGGCTTTTGCATACAATCCTTGTATTACCTCTGATTTGTGTATTACTCAGTATATTTTTATATTAAATTGTATCTTTTTAAATGTTGTACTTTAACTGTTTATTGTAAATATATAAAGCAATTAATTTTTGCATGCTCACCATGTATTCAACAACTTTGCCCTTCGTATTTATTTCCCCCCTTTTGCATTTATTATATCTAATAATTTATCTATAAATTCATTTAAATAGTCTATACATATATCCACATCATAGTCAAATAATCAGTTTTATTTCTTCCTTTATAATTCTTATGGCTTTCATTTCTTTTTCTTGCTTTACTGTGCGGGAGAGGTCTTCTAATAAAATGCAGAGATCCTTCCTGGTCTCAAAGACAAAGCTTTCAACATTTCACCATTAAGTACGATGTTTACTACAGGGTTTTAAAAAATATCACTTTTTAGGCTGAGAAAGTTTTCTTCTGTTACAATTCCACTAAGAGCTTTTGTCACAAATGGGTGACTGTGTAAGATTGGCTTTATTTTCCCTAAATGTTTGGCAGAATTGTCAGTGAAGTCATCTGGGCCTGGAGTTTTCTTAAAGCAGTTTTAATCACAGATTCTAGTTAAAAGGAAATGGCTATTTGTGTATTTCCTATTTGTGTGTTGATTTGGCAAAACTGTAGTTTTCTAGGGAATCCAGCTCATCCCATCTCCCGCAATTTATTGGCATACAATTGTTCATATTATCCTCATGACTGTTTCAAAGACTGAAGGATCTATAGTAATGTCTCCCTTTCCATTCCTGACATTAGGTTTTTGTGCCTTTTCTTTTGATCAGTCTCAATTGAGGTTTACCAATTTTTATTCTTTTTCAAAGAATCAACTTTTAGCTTTGTTTGTCTGCTTATTTATTTTAGCCATCTACTGAATATTTGTTTTCTTTTTCCTTGATTTCTACCATCTTTGGCTTCAATTTGTTCTTTTTCTAACTTCTGGAAATGAAAACTTAGTTCATTAACTTTCAGCCTTTCTTCTTTTATAATATATACACTTAAAGCTATAAATTTCCCTTGAAGCACAATCTTAGCTATATTCCACAATCTCATTTATCTTTCATTAACAGTCCCAGGCAGTAGGTATTTTTATTTCCTTTTCATAGATGAGAAACTAAAGATCGAGTAACTTGCTTAAGATTATAAATGGTGAGATCAAGTATCAAAACCCGGTTCTGTGGGTCTAAAATTAGTGTTTCCTATTATACTACATTGTACGTAATTAAAGAAGTTTCTAGGCAGGGTGAGTAGATGGGCTCTGCTCAGTGCCCAGGAGAGGGGCTTCCGATCTGCAAGAGGAGGAGGGTCAAGATGGTCAAAGAGAGGCCACGAAATCTCAGCTGTCCCTGGAAATCCATGATTGGTGATTTTACAAAAGTAACAGAATCAGCTGTCAGCCTTTAGGGCTCAAACAAAAAATGTTCTCCACAATGTACAGTTAGATTTGTTCATTTATTGCCAGGATTTGACTGGCACCACTGACTCAATATGGCACAATGATCAACCACTAGTCCTGGGCACATAAGACCTTCTGAGTCACACCAGCCATAGTTGGGATCAGAGACAGTCAGGAAGGGACAGGAACGAAAGAGCCCATAAAACATCATGTAACTCAGTGACACAATGGTCTTGTGTCAAAAAAAAGTTGGAAAGAGAGGAGGCTCTGCCATTGTCAGCTGCACCTTGAGAACCTCATTCATTAAAGATCTAAGTTTCCAGAACTGAGATTGTGCTGGGAATAAAGGTAAAACATGGACTAGACCTCAAATTTTTTTTAATCCTCACCTGAGGATATTTTTCCATTTATCTTCAGACAGTGGGAGGAAAGGAGGAAGAGAGAGAGAAAGAGAGAGAAACATCGACATGAGAGAGACACTGACTGGTTGCCTCCTACACGACCCCAACCAGGACCAGGGACCAAATCGCAACCGAGGTACATGCTCTTGACCAGAATTGACCCTGCAACTCTTTGGTTCTCTGGTGGACACTCTTTTTCTTTTTAACCCTCAACCAAGGACATTTTTTTTTTTTTTATCCTCACCCAAGGACATTTTTCCATTTTTGTTCAGGTAGAGTGGGAGGGAGAGAGAGGAACCGAGAGAGAGAGAGAAACATCGATGTGAAAGGGACACATCGAGTGGCTGCCACCCACACAAGCGACCAGGGCTGGAGACAAACTGCAACCGAGGTACGCGCCCTTAGCGGGAACCGAACCCGGGTCTCTCAGGACCGCAGGCCGACGCTCTAACCGCAGAGCCAAACCGGCCAGGGCTGACATTTTTGCATTCATCTTCAGAT